GGTGGCGGCCTAAAGCCGTGCCAGGTGTATGGTCTGCTAGCTGGGTGCTGGCAGGCTTGCACCTGGCATGGGCATCGTAGCCAGCCTGTGCCCCTTTAAGGGGTCCAGGGCTGGGAGGGGGGCAATAGAGTTTCCCTGGTGTTGGCCAGAGTGGCCACCAGGGAAAGCTGGGGAGGGCTAGCCTCCCACTAGTTCGAATTAAGGGGCTACACACCCCTTAATTTGAACTAGTAAGTTCAAACTAGGCTTAGTCCTCGTGGAATGAGGTTTACCTAGTTCGAACTGAGCGCTCCGCTAGTTCGAATTAAGTTCGAACTAGTGGAGCGCTAGTGTAGCGCCTATCAAAGTTAATTCGAACTAATGTCCGTTAGTTCGAATTAACTTTGTAGTGTAGACATACCCTTCCTTACTTGCAGACCCCACCTCTCACTCAAACACCTCTCTCAGATCTTGGCCTACTCTACAAGCCCCAGCAGGCTTATAAACAATCCCCAGCAGGCCTTAATGGGCTGCAGGTACCCTGATTAGTCTGCTGCTTCTGGAAAACTCTTAATTGGCCCCAGGTGTCTGCCTGATTATGCTGCACTGAGCTCTTCCCTGTTTACTAAGGAAGAGGAAACTTCACCAACTGGGGCTACATCTAGACTACAGGCTTCTTGTGCAAGAACCTTTTTTTGGAAGAGACCTTCCGCAAAAACTTCTTGCACAAGAGCATGTTCATGCACAAAAGTGCATCGAAAAAGCTCACTTGCATAAAAGGCCACTTGGAACCACTTCAGGCAGGGCTTTAGGTCACCAGTTGCTTCCCCTCTGGAAAGCTGTTCCTCTGTTTCTGCTGCCTACCTCTTTGAGGGATAGCAAAGCTTTCCAGTGCTTGCTGTGGTTGCCCTATTTTTTTTTGGACACCACAACTTTTTCCCTTGAGCCATGGAGCCAGAGCTGCCCCATGGCATGCGATGGCCCCACTTGGCCAAGCTATTGGTTTTGCAGCACTTACTGCCAGCTGCCTTCCTGGTCCTGCACGACCTGGAACCCAAGCTTATTCTGGGGATCCTCTCCATGGCTGTGGCTGCTCCACTCTGGCATCTGCACCCCTCTGTGGAGAGGTGTTTCTGGAGACTGGACACCAGCTCCAATGGGTGGGACAGACTGGTCATGGGGCAGAGAGTCGACCAGCAATGATTCCAAAACTTCTGTATGGGGAAGGCCACATTTTTTGGAGCTGTGTGCCTGACTCGTCATTGCCCTCTGGAGATGCTACACTCACCGGTGGCCCCGCCCTCCCCCTGGAGAAGCAGTTTGTAATTGCCATCTGGAAGCTCACCACCCCCAACAGCTACCAGTCAGTGAGCAACCAGTTTGGTGTGGAGAAGTCCACCGTTGGGGCACTCCTCATGGGGATAAGTTGCTCTGAGGCTGCAGTCCCTGCAGGGAGATGGGGGGGACTGTTGCATGAGGGGGTCACAGGAAAGGGGGCCTATGAGCTGTGGGGGAAAGCCCCCATCCCACCCTCACACTGCCCTGCTCTTGGGGGGGCAGTCTTATGGGGGTGGCTCCTGGGGTTTTTGAGGGGAGCATGGTGGGTACCTCCCGAGGGCTCAGGCACTCCCTCTCTTATACTCTGTTTTGTGTGTTTCTTTGTCTCGTTCTGCAGCTTGTAAGGGCCATCAACTCCATTGGGCTGTGGAGGGTCATTCATCTGGGAGACCGGGACATGACCGTGGCTGGATTTGATGCCCTGGAGTGTCCAAACTGCAGGGGAGTCATTGATGGGACCCACATCCCAATCTGCACACTGGACCATCAAGTGGTCCAGTATATTAACAGGAAGGACTACTTCTCCGTGGTGCTGCAGGCCCTTGTTGACCACCGGGGACACTTTACAGACATTTTTGTTGGGTGGTTGGGTAGGGTACACGATGCTCGTGTCTTCCGGAACTCTAGTCTATACAGGAAGCTGGAGATAGGCACGTTCTTCCCCCACCATGAACTTGCCATTGGGGATGTGCAGATCCCACTGTGCATCGTAGGGAACGGGGCCTACCCCCTCATGCCATTACTTTTGAAGCCATGCACTGGCCACCCAGCAGGGATCAATTTCATGCCCGCCTGAACTGGGTCCAGATGCAGGTGGAGTGCACTTTTGACCACCTCAAGGCATGTTTCCGTTGCCTCCTAACCCACCTGGATGTAAAGGAGCACAACATCCCCAAGTTGGTGTAGGCATGTTGTATCCTCCACAACATTGGAGGAAGAGGAGAGGAAGGGGGAGGCCTTCCTCCTGGGGTGGGAGTCAGACACTGGCCAGGAGGGATGAGCCTTCCAGCAGCTGAGGAAAGCTGCCATCCACTAGGCTCATCAGGCGGGTGCGCAACCAGAAGTCCCTGAGGGAGAGGTTCTCTCAGACACCCCAATAACTCTCCCCAGAGCCTCCTCCCTATGGGCCTCTGGCTTGCAGCCCTATCCCTTCCCAACCACAACTCCTCCCTTTGCCCTTTCCCTGACCTCCCAATAAACACACCTGTTTGGTTTTTTTAAAAATGCAGTCTATACTGATTTCAGATTCAGAAAAGGTGGGCAGTGGGCTCATAACTGGGAGGGCAGAGGTTTGATGTGGCACCTCAGGATCTCATTGGGGTTGGGTGGGTCTGGGGGGCACAGGGAGGTGGATGGGGGGATAAGAGGGTTGGAGGAGGGGCAGGGTTGGCAGGAAGGCAGGGAGAGGGGCCATGCGCATCACTTGGGGAGGGAGCAGAGGCATGGTAGGGGGTCAGGCAGATGGGGAATGGTCCTAGTAGGGGGGCAGGAGGCTGAAAGCCAGGAGCAGTGGCATCAGGCGGGTGTGCCACCATGCGCAACATGATGGCACACATGGTGTCACACCGCTGCATAAGTTGGTCCCAGGCATGCTCCTGTCACTCCAGGTCGACGTGGAACTTGTGCACCAGTGTCTGGTGTATGTCCTGAAGGACAATATATGCTGCTGCATCAGGTCTTCTTAGACTGGCACTCCTGCAGGTTCCCCAGGCTCTGGTGGGTGGCGGCAGTGGTGTGGTTTGGCCCTCAGTCCCAGCTGGTCTGGTCATGGAGAACACAAAAAGGGAGAGGCGGTCAGTCATCCCTGCAGTCACTGTCCCTAAGGCCGTTCCCTCCACTGTGAGCAGCAACCAACAGTCCATGGCTCAGAGGAGGGGGAAGTCTCAGGAAGAGACATGGCTTTGCACAACAGGCCGAGTCTCACAGGGGCCCCGACGTGCCAAGAGGACCATGCTGCTCACTTCCCACCTCCCTCTCCTCCCCCAGCCCATGGACAAGCAGGCAAGGGAAGTGTCCGATCACAGTGGGATCCCCTCATGGGTGGCAGAGGAACCAGGAACAGCCTGGCCCTCCCTACGGTCCACATACACAGGTGCGGCTCGCTGGGCTGTGTGTGGGAGAACCTGCTGCCTCGCATGTGCAGGCATGCCCATGTGAAGCGCTCCTTGGCCTGCACCCTTGTGGCTAGACAGCTTGGTGCACCCCTCCCCCCCGGGACAGGACATGTGTGGCCTCCCCTGAGCCTGAGAGCAGGATCCCATCCGTGCTCAGGGGCTGCCTACTGCGTCCATGTGCCTCACAGTAACACAGCACATGGTTGCACGTGCATGGAGCACTGCATGATGTCAAGCCCAAGTGACACTCGCCCCCCCGCCCCCTGTGCACCTGCCTCCCCTACGCTGTGTGGGTGACTAAGTGAGACCACTCACCTGAAGATTCCTCCCAGGCATCTGAGGAGGCCTGGGAAATATTCTGGCTCCCTTGCACCGGCTCGAGGGAGAGGGTCACGGTGCCCGTCTCTTCCTCCTCCTTCTCCAGTGTGGCTGGCTGGCCCTGGCCCTCCTGCTCCTCCTCTGGGGCGACCCCAGAGTCCACCAGAATGGGTGGAGAAGATGTTTCCCCATTCCCTAAGATCTGGTGCAGCTCCCTGTAGTAGGGGCATATGTGGGGTCGTGCCCCTGAGCGGGAGCGGCACTCGGTGGCCCAGACATATGCCTGGTGGAGCTCCTTCACCTTACTCCAGACCTGTTCCATGGCTCGGAGTGGGTGTCCGCGCTCCGCCAGGGATGCAGCCATCCAGCCATAAATGTCAGCATTCCACCACTTGGCCTGGGGATCCTTCAACATCTCCTCCTTGCCCCACAGCTTGAGAAGGGACTGACCAGGAAGGTGCACGCCTCTTTATCCCCCTGGGTAGGTCCTGGGACCCCTGGGGCTGCTACATGTGAGGACCAAGGAGTTGTGGAGGACTTCAGGTGTGGACATGCCTTGCAATCCTGTGGCAGGGAGAACAGCGGAGTTAGAGTGCTGCTCTCTGGCAGCTTCCTGCCAAGGCTTGTCCAGGGTGCCTGCAGCTTTAAGAGGGGCCAGGAGACAGGAACTATAGAGTTGTGATTAGTTTGTATGTAGTGACCACCAGGGCACCTGTGCTTTTTTCTGGAGGCCTCTTCTTCCACAAAATAACCCTCTTCTCCATCCACACATGCCTGTTTGAGAAAGAGCACTTTCACAAAAACACTTTTTCCTCATAGAACGAGAATTACCAATACCGCAAAACCCCCTCTGTTCTTTTGATTTATTTGCGAAAGAACATGAAAGCACTGTGTATGTTCCGCAAGTTTTGTCGAAAAAGTGGCCGTTTTTCCCACAAAACTCTGTAGTATAGACATATCCCCAGAGCCCAGCATAATGTGGCAGCCAGCTGGTCTGGGCCTGTCACAGTACTTGGAACTTAATATCCTCTTTTCCCTTGTCTCTAATTCCTTGCAATAATCAAGTCATCTGAATAGCTTCTCACTATTGGTACAGTGTCATGCACAAGAGAGCCGTAATCTCAGTGGGAGCTTCTAGGTGCTATTGTAATGCCACTAATAAAATATTCCAATTTCTATTTTCCCCTTATTTAAAGGGTTGCATAGGAAAGCGCTAATGAACAAAGAGAAGCCAACTCCTCTACCTATTATAAATGCGAGCAGCCTGTGAATCAATCACTCCATCTGCAGTTATGAGATCACAGATAGGCTTCAGCCTGATCTGCATCCCTGTTTTGTAAAGAAACAGTAGCACTAGTCTCTTGGATCCTGTTAGTTTTTGATTGCCACAACTGAGAATCATTAAATTAGCACCACTTTGCCTATCTCCAAGATAGGGCATCATAGAGCATGTCTAAACTATGGGTTTTCTGAAAGAGGATATGCAAATTCCCCGGGAATTTGCATATCTTCTTCCGACCTCACTTTCGAAAGCAGATCTTTCAAAAGTCAAAGTAGTCTGGATGTGGGCGTTTTTGAAAAAAAACAAAAAAACAACCAAACCAAAAAAAAAAAAAATTTTTTTAAAAAAACCCCCGTCTAGACTGCGGTCTCTTTTTTTTTTTTTTGAAAAACCCTTTTTCGTAGTGAGTTTGTACACCTCAGAACAGAGTAACTTCAAAAACCTCTACTTTGTTCTTTCTGTGTTTCTTTTAATAAAATATGTGGCTCTACTGCATCTTAAACTTGTCTGAGTCATGTTTGGTAAACATACCCCTGCCATGGCACAGCAACAATAAATCAAGCACCTCATTTTTTTCTACTTTGAAATCAAACTATGCACTCTGTAGAACTAAAAATGCAACCAAACCAAAATTATTGTACTTCATTAGTTCAGGCACATCAAAAGTTCACCTGAGAGAAGTGACTACAATTGCTGTTATGTTTTATATCTCAGAGAATTCCCACTTCCCCCTCTATATGCTATTCATCTGCACAGTATAGTACAGCATACACTTATAAAAAAGTTTCTAATAGGTAGAATCTGAAAGCAGGCATATAAAAAAAATGAACAACAGAGCTAAAAAAGACTTCTTGAAACACTTAGAAGAACAAGAATGTCTTCAACCTGCTTTCTAACACTCACACAGAAGTGTTAGGGAATTCAATAGCCTCAAGCAAACCTGACAAGCCATCTCTAGTCCGTATTTAGAAATTGTTTATAAAACAGCACCCAAGGACCACAGGTTACAAACAGAGCAAGACAAAATGTAGTTAACAAGCAAGGTCATGGACATGTAAATTCCCATGGGTTATAAAAGTGCAATAAGTTCAGAGTTACAGGAGCAGCAAAGTGGCTGAAAATGAGATATCTGATACATTTTTTCACTGATGACTATCATTGTCCCATCAATGTGTCACTGGAACTTCCTCTTGTTTGTTATGGACTCTCTCCTGAAAAATGCCAGATGCCCTTGACGCCTATTAAAGTCAGTGGAATTTGAGGGACTCCACACCTGACCCTATAGAGCTGTGGTCTCCAACCCGGTGCCCACGGACGCCATGGTGCCCGCCAGACCCTTTACGTGCGCCCGCAGAGCAATCTGGGTTGGCCCCGCCCCCGGGTGCGCCGTGCGTGCCCTTGCCGGCCCTGGCCCC